TCATCTGAGAGCACCTCTGCTTTCATCTCCATGTGGAGACCACCGAGCTAAGTCTACCCCCCATCATCTGAGAGCACCTCTAGCTTTCCTTCCACTGAAAGAGTTTTTCTTTAGATATGTCAGTGAGACAGGTTCGCTTTGCTGTCTTGGAGGTGGCTCCACTCCCTTCCACATATGTCGGTTTCCTGTGTGACCCTGGCTGGTGAGTGGTGGGTGAGGGCAGTGGGGATAGCCTTGTGGAGGCCTCCCACGCTGGTGCAGGTTTTGCTGGCGCAGGGAAGTCTGACATTGCCTTTGCCAACGCTGGGCTATGGGTCCAAGCTTATAGTCTGTGGCTTCAGGAGAGATTCTAGTTCTTACACCCCTCCTGAGAACCCCAAATTCCTCCAGAGAGCAGGGCTGGCCACGCTGCACACCCAGGCTCCCTGAAAGGGCTCCTGGCATCCTCCTGTCTCTGGCTCCTATCCTGTAACTCTGGGCTCACGAGTGGCCCATATAGCAGTGCTTCAGGCCAGCCTTTGTGTAATGAGCAAGGTCATAAAATGCTGCCACCCGGCTCTCAGGCGAACCGATATTTAAAAGAACAAGAGGCCAGGCTGGAGTGCAGAGGAGTACCTTAGCAGAGAAAAGCACAGCCAAAACAGCACATATAAGTCAAAACCAACCGGACTTAGTTTTGTGAGGTTTCTGGGGGGGTCGGCGGAGGCGGGAGTTGATATTCTTCTGTTTCTTCTATTAGGGCAACAGATCATAAACCTTTCTCATAATATAAAATATATCTTTAATTTTTTTCTTGTGTTTTTTTGTTTGTTTGTTTTTGAAACGGAGTCTCGCTGTGTCGCCCAGGCTGGAGTGCAGTGGTGCGATCTCGGCTCACTGCAACCTCCGTCTCCTAGGTTCAAGCAATTCTCCTGCCTCAGCCTCCTAAGTAGCTGGGACTCCGGGCACCCGCCACACCCAGCTAATTTTTTTTTTGTATTTTAGTAGAGACGGGGTTTCATTGTGTTGCCCAGGCTGGTCTCGAACCCCCAAGCTCAGGCAATCTGCCAGCCTCGGCCTCCAGAAGTGCTAGGATTATAGGAGTGAGCCACCACACCCAGCTTTTCTGGCCTTTATTGCTACAAATTTAAAAAACAAATGGAGAAGCTGAAAGAGAGAAAAAAATAGGAGAACAGAAAAGACATCAAAGGAATGATCCAAAGATGGAGACACAAGGAGGGGCCAGAAGAAGAGGAAATGAGACCACGTTGCATTCGTGTTGCTCCAGCAAACTCCTTCCGGGTTCCCTCCCACCATCAGCCCTAAGACAGAAGCGCTACCGCCAGTGGCCTTTGCTGACCCTGGCAGGGTTGGTGGCTCTGGCTGGTGGCTCTGGCTTCGGTGTCTTCTCGGCACTCCTGGCTTGCCACTGCTCTAACATCTACCATCTTGTATCGTCATTGTCTGTCTCTCTGAGTGTCTCCTGGCACGTGGAGTTTCTTAAACACCAGTCACCCTTGGCCAAGATGCCCCAGCACAGACAAAAGTGCCTGTACCCGGCCAGGCCTCCAAGGGACCCATGAGGGAGTGAGGACACCAGGGTGGAAGCAGAGAGGCACTCACACCCAGACCCAGTACCCGGCGGCCTTCACCCGTCCTGGAGTCCCCGCCCTCCCCGTCCCTAGAGCGTGGAGAAGATGGCATTGAGAGCTTCTGAAGGAGGCCTGGCCAAGCACTGCCCGGCACGTCAACACACCAGGCACCCTCCTCCCACATGCCTCCCTGGGCACAGGACATTTCTTACTGAATTGTTCACTTGTTTGCTGGGATCGTCCCACGTTCAGTGTCTCGTGACAGCTGGGGAAGGGGTCCAGCTCCAGAACGGCTGTGTCCCTCTCGAGCCCGAGGCAGGGCTGGCTGTTGCAGTGGTGACCACAAGCTAAGGCTGCCCGGCCATCTTCACATTGGATCTCAACCTGACAATCTTCAAGCCAGCAGGAAAGACTGTATTCTTTCTGTGCACAAAAATGAAAACTAAAGCTCAAAGAGCCTAAGTGTCGGGCTCAAGATCACATATTGTCCCAGAAACACATTCTCATTTAGTCCTGTCTCTTATACACATCTAGATGTGTATAAGAGACAGCCCAGAGACCGAGGCCGTGTGTGTGCTTTGTTTCCCCGAACACACCCAGAGACCGAGGCAGTGTGTGTGCTTTGTTTCCCCGAACACACCCAGAGACCGAGGCAGTGTGTGTGCTTTGTTTCCCCGAACACACCCAGAGACCGAGGCCGTGTGTGTGCTTTGTTTGCATGTAGATTTCGGCCTGAGTAAGGAGGCCATTGACCACGACAAGAGAGCGTACTCCTTCTGCGGGACAATCGAGTACATGGCCCCCGAGGTGGTGAACCGGCGCGGACACACGCAGAGCGCCGACTGGTGGTCTTTCGGCGTGCTCATGGTGAGCCTGCCCCGACCCTCTTCCGTGCTATGGTGGCTGTTCCCCACGTGGACCCCTGTCCCCAGGTTGGTTCAGAGGTCCCGGAATGCGGAAGAAGGCAGTGCCTGAGGGCTTGGGACACAAGGCAAGTGTCCAGGCCAGGCATTTCCCGGCAGCCTCCTCCCCATCCCGCGTCCCCACCTCAGAAAGCGGGGCTGGGATGCAAACGAGAACGCAGACGTGTGAGGAGTTGAACCCTCTTTATGCTTGGTGCTCTTGGGGCTTAGCGTGATGATTACTAGAGACGCCATGATTTTCGTATGAAAATATTTTTCTTATTTAAACACAGAATCCTTGCACTTAGTTACAGACTGAGACGTACATGGAGTTAGGCATTTTTGCATCGGCGTCTGGAAAAGTGAATCGTCTCTGTCACGTGTGAACAGACAGAGTGCACAACCGAACCCGGTCTGGACGGGGCCTTCTGCACCGTAGGAACGGTGTGGGCTCCTTTTCCGATCCTCAGAGGACCCTCCCTCCCTCCGCCAATCCCACCCTCCCTCCGCCAATCCCACCCTCCCAGCTGGGCAGGGGGCTCGTGACCTCGGGGTGGAGCAGGCGTGCAGTGAGTGCTCTGGAATCTGACCTGGATGACAATGGGGTTGTGGCATTTCAGGGGTATCCCGCACTCCGGCCTGTGCATCACACGCAGGAGGAAACTGAGGCCGTGAGCACTTTAGGAAATGGGATGAAGGTTGTTTCGCTGGCGTGTGGCGGAACCGTGTGCCTGCCAATCCCAGTTCCCTTCAGAGTTCAGGCCGCCGCTCCTCCCACCACACCCCACCCCTCATCCCCTTGCTAGGGAACCCCAGTGCTGAGTCCCGCGATGTCTCCTGGGGAACCCCTGGCTGGTGCCCAAGGCCTCACTGGTCCTTTGCCACTTGGGTCACTTCACTGCACCACTCTCTAGGCTCTGGCCTCGGCCCCAGGAGCTCACAGACCCTGGCTGTGTCCCACGTGCCCGCA